GTGTATTTTATAACAAAGCTGTTTTTATTTAGGAGGTTTGGGACGAAGTAGACATTAAATATAAGGACAAGGTTTGGTCACGCTTAACAAATTATTCACAGACATTTTATCACATTCTTTATTAGTACTGTTTCATACAAAACCTATTAAATATATCCCAGTTTTCAGTATTGCAATATGATGGGGACATGGGGTTATAGAATGTGATGCTAACTTTCAACCTTAATTAAGACATTAAAACTATTTTTATATTTAATAGAATTAAAAATGTGCTAAATGAAATGCAATATTCTATAATTTATTAAAATCATTTTAGTTTTGAAGTTTTAAATTACAGATAATATTTTTAGATGCATTGGTCCTGATACCCAAAAAGGTCACTGATTTCTCACAGACAGTGTATAACTTTCACTCTAATCTAGTGTACACACGCGGTTCCATTTTCAAAATCGCCGTCATCCAACTCATTTAGTCGTCATTTTCTTACACTAAGTCATCCTCTTTCTGCCCCTCGTTGTCCGCCAACATCCGTTGTTCATTTTGATCAATGAATATTATTTTACTTTCTACATTTTTGTTTGATCTTCGTCGCCTCCGCTAAGCTGATTTAAATATTTATATATCGTTGACATCGATTGATTTCAAGGTAAAAATATTTGAATAAAATGTTTTTGTCGATATTTAGCATACAAAATGAGTATGGGTCAAGAAATAAACTTTTGACATTTTAGGAAAGCTGTTTTCAGGTTTTTTCTACTTTGATACTTTTTTCTATTTGAGATTCAGAATTTTTCTATTGTATTAATTTGTTTCATTTACATTTTTAGGTTTATTTTTATTTTTTTTTTTATTTCTTTATTAATTTATTTTACACTATGTTATAGCTAGCAAAACAGTTCTTAAGAATTGGTACCGCTTAGTCTAAATTAATTTGTATTAATTTTTCCATTTCATTATATAATCATTTTTCAATAACCATTTACTCCCATCCATTCTAAAAAACGTTAATTTCAAATATCTTCAGTTTATATTTTTGCAATATAAATTTTGATTATTTTTTCTGACAATTAATTAATTGTTAAAAGAATAAACCATTTTTTCCATATTCAATAAAAATAGTAAATTTGATAAACGCCATTTTAGTTACGAAGCTGCAAGCGAGTGTTTAATAAAATGAGCGTCTAGTAAAGTTCATAAACGAGTAAAGTTCATAAACGAGTTGCATATATATAAATATAGAGTAACCCAATTGCAAATTGTTAATTTTTTGTAAAATCTATTTATCCTTTAAAAATGGACTACAATGGTTTTACACATTGAAAGTGAAGAGAATGTTTTTATGTGTCCTTCACCTAAAATGAAGAGTACAGTACGAAACGCAAATGTGTATAATACTGTGCTTATTATTATGATATAGAATTAGAAAAAATATATATTTATATTTTTTTATTTATTTAATTAAATCAATTATGCTTGTTGTGGTCTAATTCTAGTAATTATAAAGTACTGAAATTAAGCACGATGAAAGTGAATTTGTTGAGTAAATTTCAAATTAATTTAATAATATTAAAGGTAAGAGTTTTTAAATTATAAGATTCCTGTTTCAATAAATAAATATAATAATTATTATAATAATTGTGATTATAGCAATCATGATTGAGTAAAGATAATATAGAAAAATAAAACGAATATTTTAGTTGTATTTTGCTAAAAATGTGACTTTTGATAATACACGACCGATATTATAATAGAAGCATATAATATCGCATGAATTTTGAAAATTATTTTTAATAATTTTTTGAGATATACCTAGTCAATTCCATATTAAATGGAAAATTGACTATATCTCAAAAACTGTTCTACTTTTTTAACTTTTGACATTTTTGGATTCAGAGGACAATTTTACATAAGAATTGGCTGTTAAATTTTGGTTAACCATGGTACAAGTTAAAAAGCAGCCACTAATAACTACATTAAATTAGTTTTACGATTTTTTACTTTGATTGCAAAATTATCAATATTTTTTTGAAAATAAATTGTTAATTTTTGAAAATATGTGATTTTATTGTATTATATATATAAAAGTAAAAATTATTGAAAAGAGATAAGTGAAAATTATTGACAAGAGATTCCTATAAATTAAATTTTTTTATTACATACAGAATCTGGTACTAGTCTTACTTAATTTTAGTACGATTACTTTTTTACATAATCTTTTTATTTCTGTAAAATTTTATACGATTTTATAAAATATTATGCAATGAAAAATTTTCCTTCAGCTGTAGCTAATGACTTAGAAATTCTTTTAACAATTATTTTTGCGAAAAAATAAAATTTGTAGTTACGCATGTGCTCAAGTATGATTTAGTACTTTGACCACAGAATAGAGGAAGGCAGAAGTCGCACTTCACAGATTTTGTGTCGCAAAGTTGAAGTTTGAAATAGGTCTGTGGCATCTTTTATATAATAGTATACTCTCTAAAAATGAAACAGTGGATTTTCACTGATTGACAGTGCATATTAACTATTTGCCGCAGTGATAAGTATACCACTAGCAATTAGTGAATACTCACTAATTTATTTAGTGGAAATTACACTGTACAAATTAGTGAAATAGGTTTAGTTCAAAAAAGTTAAAATTTCACTATTTTATGTCGAGAGTTCCGGAAAAGTAGTGATAATAAAAAACACTAATTTGGAGAAGTTAAAATTTCACTAATTTATATTGAAAAACACTAATTTTACAGTGAATAATAACTCACTGACGGAAATAGTGAAAATTTCACTGTTTCACTTTTAGAGAGTAGGTATTATGTATCAAGTCTTAAAAACGCCATTTTAGTTACGAGTTTTATTAGGCACGAGCGAACACAAAGAAAAAATATATTTGTTAAACATTTGACATCTGTCAAGACAACGTATGCGTAACTACGAATTTTATTTTGTGGTAAAAAAAAATGTTAAAATGTTAAAAGAATTTCTACGTCATTAGCTGTACTGAAGGAAAACTTTTTATTGTATATAAAATTTTGTAGGATTTCACAGAAATAAAAAGATTATGTAAAAAAGTAATCGTACTAAAATTGAGTAAAACTAGTACCAGATTCGTTTAATGTGATAAAAAAATGAATTTATTTTCACTTATTTTTTTTTCATTATTTTTTATTTTTTCAATAAAATCACATATTTTTAAAAATAAACAATTCAGTTTTATAAAAATAGTTATAATTTTGCAGTTAAAGTAAAAATTACTATAAGTTTAACTTTAACCTTAATGACTTTTAAATCAGGGTGTAATATTTAGATAGTTTAATATAATAAAACAAATATTTTAACTAAACAACTCTGTATAAATAAACAAAGTTAAAAGCAAACATATACATCTAAGCGCAGTTTCCAATAGAAATGAAGTTTTCAGTTTAAAAAATCAATTAGTTACCCTATAACCTATATTTTTAAAATTTCTCTTGTGACCCGACGTAGAGAAACAATTTTTACTTTCTCTCTTACATCCTTTTATTTTAACATCAATGAAATAAGATGAGTAAAATCGATGATGAAATGTTGGCATTGACTTTCATTCGGCGGCGGTTTTGCGTCTATATGCCCAAATTTTGACCGCACGAAAGGTGTGGTGCCCAATAAAAAATACCCGTGTCGATGAATTAAATATTCTTTCTTGTGAGCCTTTTTTATTTTATTTTTACCGTTCTTAAGTAGGTACCGTTTTTCGGACAAAGGGACAACATAATTTTTCTGTATTACATTGTAGTGGAATAACTGGAATAGTAAGAAATGAAGCATGATGAGTGTTCTTAGTTTGTTATTATTTCTTTAACAATAATGGAAATTAATACTATATAATATATTGAGATGTCCCCAAGTGAAAATTATTTTTTATTTTTGTTTGTTTCAATGTTAGTCTAGAATGGGGTTTTTGGGAAGCCACCAGGTCTAGTAATAACATAACATAAGTGGTTCTGCACTAATGCAAGAATTTTAAAAAATCATACATTTTGAATATTAGAGCTTCACGGAAGATAGCTTCACGGAGGTTAGGATTTCGTATGTTTTTTATAAACATTCTTTTGTATATTTAAAATAAGTTATTGTATCTTTTGACAACTTAATATTTAAAAAAATACAATTGTACATACATAAAATATTTATAAAAAATCTACTTACTGAGATATTACACTTCACGGTGGATAGGTTTTTAAATAGCAAATTAATGAACTTAAACTTTTGAATTATAAAATAGCAACACTCTCATCTGCATATAAATTCTAACTGACCTTCAGGAATCACATGCATTTATAATGTCGTAAACAGAGGTTTTTGTTTATTTAAAATGATTAAAGCGCCATCCGTTGCATAAAATTTAAAGCAAAAACAGATTCACGGAGGATATAATCAATTTTTGTAACACCTACATAAATGGTTATAAAAATTATTTCTTTTAATTTTTAATAATATTTTATATTTGATTCGATTGCTTTGGATGTGTTTAATTTACAATGAACTGATATTTTTAGTATGCTTTTACTACCTCAGATATTTGAAAACATACAGGTTAACCTTGAAAGAGTAACAGTCACGGAGGATAGGTTTTAGACTTTTAAAACATTGTAAAAAATAATTAATTGCGGTTAAAAACCTGAAACCTAAGCTGTAATATCTGCTTAATTATGAAAGATCAAAATACAATAAAAGTGTAGGTCAAACTCATTTAGTTTTATTAAATATCATGGGGTAACACCATCGGGGGACATTTCGTGAGATTCACCCATAAACAAGTTTTTACTAATTGGTATTTTGGGATTTACATTTATTATTTAGAATCTATTATTATTATTATTAATTTTTAACAAAAAAAAATGTAAACAAAAATAATTCTCATGATTAACCTTATCTAAACACTAGCCTTTCTATTAAACAACAAATTACGTAATTTTCTTGATAAAGCATCTTATATCTTCGCTATTAACAAAAACATTATTATTGAATAAGTGTTCAAGTCAGCATAACAGACCGTTTCTTAAAAAGTTAAAATGCAGAAATTTACTGCTTTACTGGTTTTGTTCCTCACCATTGCTGTGGTGAACTGTATCGTCTGCCCGAAAGAAGACCCCTGTAAATTCGTTAAATGTGAAGACCACGGTTTGTGTTCCGAAAAAAATCAAGAGGTCAGAAAAGGTGGTTACTGTGACTGCTGTAATGTTTGTTTTACTGTACTAAGTAAGTCGTTTGCATTACACTTCCTATAAGCATTCTAAATTTTAATTTTATTTTTTTTAGAGGAAAATGAGTCTTGTTTTGCTTCAATACTACGTAATGTACCCCAAACTAAAGTCTGCGCGGATGGACTTGTATGTCATGAAAGAAAATGTATTAAAAAAGAAAATTACATCAAACTTTTAAAGGATAAACATTTAAATTAAAACAAAAAATGATTTATTAAATATATATTTGTATAGGTACTTAATTTGTTTAATTTTTTGTTCTGGAATACATATTACATAAATTTATCTATGACCCTTATAAGTTCAATGAAGATAAGTTATGTTTATGCCATTAAAGATAGTAAATAATATAAATATTTTATAAATGTTAAATTTTGTCCACTTAAAAAATGTATGTCAATAATCAAAAACCAATTAAATCAAAACAAGACAATTTTAAAATTTCTAAAATTATTTATTTTATTTGTTTAATGCAAATTTAAAAAATGAAAATTGTATAAGATTTCTATAATTTACCGCTATATGACCGTAAGATTTAAATATTTTTAATAATTTATAAATTACTTTCTTTTATCTTCACTACTAAAGCGATTGATTATCGCCTAGACTGTAATAGTATATTAAAAAATAATGTCATAAGACGTCATTTTGTCGTTTATAAACATTTATATGACGTTTATATGACATAAGTTCTTTATGCTATTTTGCAAAAATTCTTTAAAAAAATTTAATTTTATACCTTAAATTTAATTTGGTTTAGATAGTTGGTATCACAGTCATTGGTTTGATAGTTAATATCAAAATCGATTCGCCATGCCGTCCTTAATTTACTTATTTACAATAAGCAGCTGTTAATGTTAAAGAAGAAAAAAAGGATTTTCTTTGGTGTTAAACAAAATTTATTGCCAGAAAAGTCTCGTAAGTACTAGAAAAATCATAAAAATATTATAACCAATATGCAACCTATAAAATCAAAATTTTGGGTGGAATAAAGTATCTCATTACAGCACCAAAAGCGGTGTTATAATGAAATCATTATGAACGCAAAATAGATAAAAATAATTTTTACCAATCTGGTAAAGTTTTTTATTTCCTAGTCTGTAAAAAACCCGTTTAAACAAGTCAAAAAATTCAACTACTGTCAGATCTCTCTAAACTTACTATATACTTTTAATAATTATTATTATTATTGTACGTTTTATACAGGTTGACCCAGATCTAGCGCTACAGAGAAAAACGGGGCGTGCTGATAGGAATAAAGATCCCAAATTTAAAAATAAAAAAATTTTAGGTAAGCTTTTGCCTAGCTTAAATGTAGGAGCTTTAAGAATTGCTTGAAGACGATAGAATATTGTTGTCTTAAAACTTTTAAAAATCTTTTGTACTATGCTCCAAACCTCAAAGTCCCACCACGTGACCACGTACGGAACGCAGTCTTTTGAAAATTTGGCATTTAAGGCTTTTCAGGTTATGTATCGGTCAAAGTATAGTCAACGAAAGAAATAATATTATGTTTAGGCGTTAAAAATGTATAAATCTTTATAACATTACAATAACAATGAATGGTTTAAGAATTTAAGAATATAAATACTGCATTTAATGAAATTCTAATTTCTCCACAAAATAATTTTAACTAAACAGCATTTATTAAAAAAAATCTAGCTTCTCTATTATGGAATAAGAATATCTGTTTTAAAGGAAGGTTAATATATTATAACAAAAATATCATCTAATTTTGTAATTTTAAGGTTAGAAAAATTTATTTTGACCAAAATAAATAAGTATTTTAGATTATTTAAAAGACTGCATAATATGGTATTTAAAAATGTGATATTTTTTTTTATCTAGCTTAAAGTGTACCTACAAAAGTTTTGTCAATACAAATAGTTAAAAAGCTTCGACTGAATTTGATCTACATCGAAAAATCATTACAACTTTAAAACTTTTAATAATTAATCACATGTCATGGAAGTATTAAATATTTTCACATTGCAAGTTTCTCTAAAAATTGTTTGTTTTCTTATAATTTTACTTAAAGTAGGTATGCCGAGAGGTATCACAAGTTTTGTCATTAGAAGTATAAAAGCTTCAATTTAATTTGAACCATATTCAATTATTTAGTATACCTATATTTATTTATGACCATATTAACACACTCTTCCAAATAATCCACTTATTTATTTTGATCAAAATAGATTTTTCTAACCTTAAAATACAAAATTAGATGATATTTTTTGTTCTAATATATTAACCTACCTTTGATACAGATATTCTTATTTCATAATAGAGAAGTTAGATTTTTTTAAAAAATGCTGTTTAGTTAAAACTATTTTATGGAGAAATGTAGACCCAATGCACAAAAATATCACTTATATTGCACCTTACACTTTGGAATTTCATTAAATGCAGTATTTATATTCCTAAATTCTTAAACCAACCATTGTTATTGTGATACTAAAAAGATTTATTAACTTTTAACGCTTAAACATAAGCGGTAACACTATAAATATTATTTCTTTCATTGAAATACAATTCGTTATAATTAGAACCAATAAAATGCCAGTATTCCATGGTTACGCATTTTATCACAGCGACAATATTTTTTATCATCTTGTTTACACGTTGCTAAGGATTTTGACCCTTTTCTTGATTTTACATTTGTTGACATTTAAATACTGTGTTTGTTAAATGATTATAATAATGAATTATAAACTCTAAAAGATCGATGGGTTGGTGTAACCGATAATAAAATTAAGGTAAGTTTGAATAAATAAGGTTTATTAAAGTCTTTTTATATTTTAAAGCACATTTTAATTTCAAATGTCAAACTAAAAATTCGTTAAATCCTAAAATTCATTATATTTTCTCACTAAATATAACTCGTGGTATGATTAATTATCGATGATATTTACTCATTAAAACCGAAGCAGCACATTTCACTCGTCCTGCGGACTCGTGAAATCTGCAGCTCGGTTTCAATTCGAAAATATCATCGATGATAATCATACCACTTGTTATATTATGGGTGACTATACTTTGACAGATACATAACCTGAAAAGCCTGCGTTCCGTACGTGGACACTTTGAGGTGTGGAGGATAGTACATACAGGGTTTAAAAATTAAATAATGCCTTGAAGAACAAATGTTATATGCCATGAGGCTCTCAGCCTAATGACATATACCTATAACCAATTGAAACAGTTTCCAAAAACAAATTTTAACGAAACACTAAATAGTTTATTATTACAACAAGTTTTTACAATCTTAACAATAAATATATGTCCAAATATTGTTTTAACAATACATATCTTATTATTATCCATACTGATATGTCATGACATCGATCTTATAAAATTAGTAGATTTATTTTTATATTCAAATAAAAAAAACTATAATTTACCGTTACATTAATTATTTTTTATATTTCTTACAAACAAACGACTTATATTTACACAGCCTTCGTATTAGTTACTTGGTATAAACGCTTTATACACTTTACTCTGATTATAATCGTCGTAATCCTTATACATTCTTCTGTAGTGACTGTCGTCTTCGTATGACGTCGAATGCGTATGCTGCTCGGAATGGATTGGCTTCTTTATAATCTCGAACGTGGTTTTCTCGTGATGATTGCTACTTACAAGTTTCTTAAGGCCCAGTATGGCACTCAGCAGTAAAGCCATCTTGCCCACCAGAAGGGCCATACCGGCCATAACCGCTATACCTTTGTACGCCATGGTGAGGAAGGAGAATTTTATGGCCAAAGCCCACATCAACGCTCCATAGCCGCCTTGTTGCTTCTTTTTGCCCCTGCCTTCTTCGCTCTCTCTAACTGCTTTGGGAAAGTCGATTGTAAGAGTTCTGGACTCCAGGAAACGTCTGGATTTGTCTGTGAGAAGGTCGTCCAATTCTTCAGCTTTGAGTTTTTCCAGTTTGGTGTCGTTTAGTTTCTCACGTTGGTACAATGTTCTGCCGTATCTGCCATCTCCAACGAGCGAAACCCCGTCGAGGATCTTCAAGGATCTCTGCCGTAAGGCTCTATCGGCCATTTTGAGAGCTTGTATTTTGAAGCACTTGAACATTTCTTCCTTCGTCGAGCATTGATCAACAATTTTACCAAGTATTTTATAACCACCGTTCTCAGAGAGGACAACCGAACTACAAAGGAGTAGCAACAATACTATTCTATGGGGTATCATCATCATATTGTTGACTACGCGCAAACTAAAGAAAAACTATGGTTAAATGCACCTAGCGCAAGGTTTTATTATCATGGGTTCGTGTTTATTAAAACGTTTTAGAGCGTTAAAGTGCATGAAAAGCATGCGATCCCTATTGATATGCAAACAGTTTATGCAGGATGCATTTTGCATCTATGAAGTCTAATTATTCGGTTTACTAGGAATATTCGTAAAATACTGCACCATAAAATGTTTTAGTATCATCAAAAGGTTAAAAGGTCTTCCCAATACAATATTTCAAATTTATTGGTGGTATTAATGGTAGTGTTAATGATAATTTTCCATAATCATTTATATAAGTAAGACTGTAAGCATTATTGAGACATTTGCATCTTTTAAAGAAATTGCGTTAATATTTTAAATAAAAAATACACACATTTTCACTCCTTAACATATTATTAAATGCACGCAAGCAAATTATAAAAGTACTAAGGTTCCTTGTTTAGTATAATTGATATGGTCAGTTACCCATATGGGTAACACAATTACAGAGACAAATGGTAAAACACACGCTATTAGGTTTATTTTTATAATTTAATTTACTTATAAGCAGGATACGCCTTAATTGCTAATTATTTTTAAAATTGAAAAGTAACATTTGTGTTTTAAAATTTTAAACATTTTGTATAAAATTTGTAGTTAAGTAACTACTATTAAACTATCACTCCCGTTATCTTAAATTTAAAGACGCGGTTTAAACTAAAATCTTGATTTAAATAAGATTATAAATTTAAATAAAATAAAAACTAGGACAAAGCTTACAGTAAATCTAGGCACTAGGTCACAGAAGAATTGTGCGAAATAGTACCTTTAACATTTAAATTGCATTAAGAGTAAACTACATCCGGAGAGGGACGTGTGCTCCACATCTCATTATCGTTTACTCTCGCTTTCTTACGAACATTTTTTGCCATTGTAATAAAGAGTGTAATTTGGTGTAATGTTTGGATAAATGCGCAGTATTAGGAATCTAGATTTATGCTCTGCGTTTAAATAACATTCTCCTCTTGATAGAAAGTAAGATTTAAGACAGTTTATGACGATTTTTGTTCTATAAAGAAAGAAGATTGAAGAATAAAAAATGAATAATAAAGAATAAAAAATGAAGAATGACGATAGAAAGTGAAGCATGAACAATGAAAATTGAAGAATAAAGAATAAATAATGAAGAATAAAGAACGAAGAACGAGGAAAGTTGAATAAAGAATAAAAAATGAAGAATGAAGAATGAAGAATGAAGAATGAAGAATGAAGAATGAAGAATGAAGAATGAAGAATGAAGAATGAAGAATGAAGAATGAAGAATGAAGAATGAAGAATGAAGAATGAAGAATGAAGAATGAAGAATGAAGAATGAAGAATGAAGAATGAAGAATGAAGAATGAAGAATGAAGAATGAAGAATGAAGAATGAAGAATGAAGAATGAAGAATGAAGAATGAAGAATGAAGAATGAAGAATGAAGAATGAAGAATGAAGAATGAAGAATGAAGAATGAAGAATGAAGAATGAAGAATGAAGAATGAAGAATGAAGAATGAAGAATGAAGAATGAAGAATGAAGAATGAAGAATGAAGAATGAAGAATGAAGAATGAAGAACGAGGAAAGTAGAATAAAGAATTAAAAATGAAGAATGAAGAATGGAGAATGAAGAATGAAGAATGAAGAATGAAGAATGAAGAATGAAGAATGAAGAATGAAGAATGAAGAATGAAGAATGAAGAATGAAGAATGAAGAATGAAGAATGAAGAATGAAGAATGAAGAATGAAGAATGAAGAATGAAGAATGAAGAATGAAGAATGAAGAATGAAGAATGAAGAATGAAGAATGAAGAATGAAGAATGAAGAATGAAGAATGAAGAATGAAGAATGAAGAATGAAGAATGAAGAATGAAGAATGAAGAATCAAGAATGAAGAATGAAGAATGAAGAATGAAGAATGAAGAATGAAGAACGAAGAAAGAGGAAAGCTGAAAAAAGAAAGAAGATGAAGGAAGAAGAATAAAGAATGAGAAACGAGAAACTAAAAATGAAAAGATTCTTGATCATAAAATGATTATAAAAATTAAAATTAAATATTTAAACAAAATATTACTTCTTATTTCATATTTCGTGTAAAGAAAGAAAAGATATTTGAATGGTAAATAATGTAGCCTAAAGAATTTTTTTTACTTAAAATTATAAGGTGAACTTGCACGCATGACTGTAGTTAACCAGTAAACAACATTTCCATACTGACCGACATACTTAAACCCATAATTAACAAATTACAAATTAAACGAATCTATTGAATACCTTATTATAACAAATGAAAATCATCTATAAAATTTTAACAATTTTTGAGAAATTATTTTTTTTACTCTGGCTTCGTTAAAAGCAATTTTAGATGTATATAATGAAGCTAAAAAATTAATCATTAAACTGTACAAAAATTAAAACTGAAATCTGGAGAAAACAAATATCGAAAGAAAGTATCAGCAGCAACAAACAATAAAAATAGGAAGAACCTAAAAAACTATAAAAGATCAGGTTGAAAAATATTAATAAAATTAATAAAACTGCAAGGTGGTATTTTTGTTGTATAGTTTAGTTTATAATAATAATATTACATAAATAAAACATTCTTAAAACTGCTTATTTATAAATTTTATTTTTAAATGGACTAGACAATGAAGCATTGAACCTTTCTTTTATTCTTCACCTTGCTCGTTGCTTGACGCGCTCGAGTTAGCAGCGGATGGCCAGGCTGCTTCAAGCTTTGCATTTGCATAATAACGCCGATTGGAAAGTGTATCACAGTTACGCGACTCCAAACAAAATAAAATAAATGACTATGCTATTTTTCATCCTAAAAAAGGTTTATTACATTTCACCTCAAGGCTACCGGCGGCGGAATGCATGGTTTAGGTAATGCCTTCATTAGTGGAGGTAATATAGTATAACTAAAAGACTCCATATTCTATTTTCAAGAAATTGATGTAATACTTTAATATCTATGGATTATTTTTGATGGCACAGTACTCATGTTCTGTAACTTCTTTTTTTAAACAATTGCCAAATTCCTCCCCTTGAAAAACCATTGCATAAACCTTTTTTAATTATTTTGTTTACAATTTAAGATTGAAGATGTTTGTTCCAAAATAAAATGTTGGGTGTGGACAAGATAATAAAATTTGTGATATTTGACCTAAAAGAATATTTTACACACCCAACTTAAGAGAAATTATTTAGACTAGTAAAAAATAAATCACAGTCATGACTAATACAGTTATAGCTTGACTTGACGTGGTAAGCACAGGTGTTGACCAAGATTATTGTTGTCGCATTTTCATAGTATAAAAAATATCAATAAATCCAGAATTGGATCGACAATAAACACAATATAGGAACGAATCAATTTGGTTATTAAAAGGTTTGAATTTGCTAGTAGTTTAGATCAAACAATGCAAAAATATAAAGATTTGTAGGAATCTTTGGTAAAAAAGTTTTAGATGGTCAGCAAAAAGTAAATGTTGACAATTAGGAGACAACGACAAATCAAGGACCCAAGATTTGAACCTTGAGGAACTCCAGAAGTGGACCCAATGAAATCAGAGCTAAAGCCAGTAGATTACAAAAAGCTACTAGACCAATAGATGAGAGTTTAATTAGGAATAATTTATGACCCACCTTCCTTGTCAATATAAAACTTTTCTTTAAGATATTTATTATTTATTATTACCGAAATTTCTATTTACAAATTTAATTTGATTCATTTAAAACGAGTTTTAAATTAAAAAGGTAAATAGAAAATGATCAATATTTGATTAACAAATTAACTTCAGCAGATATAAACATACGATTTTCACTTAAATATAGAATACCACCTAAAAATAACTTTTATCTCCACGCGATCTATAATTTAAACTTTATTGTTGTCAACATTCGATAAAGAAATACCTTGTTATGGCCTAGGCCGATAAAAATTTTTATGAGGCAAGTAATTAGTTCGATTTTTTCTCGCTAGGGGTATTGTTTTAACAAATTAATCCTTTTCTAAGAAATTAACGCACTAAACTGGTTTAATTTATTTATAATAAGCACTAATTTGTTTGTTTTACTGTTAATGTTTAATATTTTTCATTAAATTATTGTAAAATTAAATATGAATAAAACAAAAAGTGAGGTTAGGCAATCAAGAAAACGCACGATTCTTTTTCTACAATTTAAATTATCTTTAATTTTTAATTTGCTTAAGTTTTCATTGAAATTAAATGTTAAACACAGCTTAAACATTCCAAACTACCTATTTTTTAAATAAAAATCCAAACAAATTGAAATTAGATACCTACCTATTTATTAAACAATTAATTGAATTCAATGTAATAGCAAAAATCCATTTCTACTTAAATCATGTTGCTAGGTATTGTCAAACTATTACTGCTTCTAAAAGCAATAATAATTATTCTACATTTAATGTAATCTTTAGCTAATATATAAATGGGATTTTAAAAAAGTGAGGTTAGGCCGCATTGATGTTAAATTAAATTGACCTATATAGTGCTTTGAAGATAAAATGTTGTATGCCATTCGGCCAAGAAGTGCCTTTTTGTGCTTCGCTCAATTGTAGGCCTCCGCTACGCGTCGGCCTTCAAACCTTGAGCTTAGCACAAAAAGCCTTACTTCTTAACCTAATGACATAAATAACTATTAACTTGGTAAAAATACTGCACTTACATGCCAACAGAGTGATTTTACTTTCAAGCAGACCTGATAACATCAAATAATTGTCTGATTCTGTCTAAGGATATATGCATCTCTAAAAATTAACTAGTCAAAAATGACTAGTTAATACAGCTATTAGTGGGGATACCATGGTATCCCCAACATTTATTATCCAAGTCTGATTGTCCCCTAAATCTAAAAATACCGTCAAAAATTATGGAAGTAGAGCAGTTTTTGAGATATAGTAAATTGCTATTG